CACAAGTTCCTCCACTACCGGTTGACATTGATACCCAATTATTGAGGCAGATGTTTGCCACTATGACAGGACACAGCCGAGACATGCAGAGTCTTCAGCAATCATTTGGAACAATGAGTACCACCATCCAGCAGGTGTAGAATGATATGGCAATCACAAGAAACTTCACATCTAATGCCAGCAGTGAGTCCCTTACAGCAAGAAGAGAGATGAGTACCTTTGATGGGAGATTGGGAATGTACGTTGGCAGGATGGATGGTATACAGTGGCGAGTGAATGAGATGGGAGACCGTTTAGGAAGCTTGAAGACCAGGATTCAGGCCATGCAAGTGGAGCAGACCCAGCAGTCTGACCTATTGAGAGAGATTTTATCCCGCCTTCCTCCCCCTCCAGGAGATCATGCTGTAGGACCCAGCCTCCCATCACAGCCACCGAATTGATCAGGGGAGTCTTGTTTACCTCATTTTGCTATTTTGTGTTCATGTTTTTTTCAAAAATTATGTCATTTAAACTTTAGTTTTTACATTGAGGACACTGTATTGTATAAGTTTGGGGGATGGTGGCATAATTTAAAACAAATAGTCGGCATGTAATTATTTTACATTTTCACAGTCCATCGTTATTATTAACTAATAGTTGCATGATGCATGCTTGATGAGTGAGTGTTGATTATACTTTTGCTTGCTTGTGTGAGTTTGATAGCCTTGTCGGCTATGATGTGATTATTGGATTGGTATAATTCATAAACTTTGGATATAGTGTTGAATAGATTAACCAATACTTGTGATGCAATACTTGACATTATCTATACACGCTATTCATGCTTAACATGTTAGGTGAATGACTGGATTTTGAGCATAAAGTAGGAAAAAAATGAAAACCCTTTATTGAATTAACACATACACCTTAAGACAGTTTGAAATTGGTTGAGCTATTATAGGAAGCATTGAGATAAGCAGGGGCTCCGTGCATGAAATTTTATTGTGTGGATTGTCTAGACCAGTGAAGTGAAGATTAGGTAAAAATCTTAAATTGGGGATTGGTTCCGAAAACTAAATGTCTAGAACAATAAAGGCATAAAATTAATTTTTGAGAATAAGACACTTCTTTTCATGCCTTTATAACTCGAGCAAGTAAGCCTGTAAGGATATTTCAAAATCTGGTGCCCTAAGGTCAACTGGCCTGGGAGTCACTGGCCTAAAGCTCGCTAAAGGGGTCATATAGAAAGAAAAAGTGAAAGAGGTTAATAAAAGTCATCTGATCGAGTCTTTATAACTCGAGTGAATAAACTTGCAAGGGTTTAAAACCTGGTGCCCTAAAGTCAACTGGTTTGGGAGTCACCGACCTAAAACTCATTACATGGGTTATATAGAAAGCAAATAAAAAGATGATAATAAAAAAAATGGAAAGTGAGAAAACCAAAAGAGAGATAATAACATGAAGAAAAGCCCTTAGACATTTGGTTGAAGAAACTACACATTTGAGGCGAGTCAAGTAACCTATTTTAATCTTGAATGTCGAATCAATCAAATTTGGGAGAGCTTTCACTTGTTGAAATGTAAACTTGTGATAGTGAGATTAATCCAAACTACGAGAGGTTGAAGACTATAGCTATGTAAACTCCTAATTTTAAAACACAACCCCATGATAATTGAGTGAAAAGAATAAGTTTGGGAGGTTGTGTATCTTTCGAGCGAGTAAGGATACATTTGACCACTTGGGGTCGGGACTCAACCTATCATGAATTTGATATGTTGGCATGAATTCACACACACACGTCAAGTATGCATTTAACAGGTAAAGGTTAATGTCATTTTTGCACTGATAAATTTTCATAAAGTCAAATACTTAGTCCAATCCTGAGCCATGGCAAGGTATTAAGCCATGTTTGTTCAAAATTAAGTCACTATCTTGTTTGAGGACAAATAATAGTTCAAGTTTGAGGGGTTTGATAAGTGTGTTTTTGTACACTTATTTAGATCACAAATATGACTTAATTACGAGTAAAATATTTAAATTGTGACTTAATCTCGTTGAATTCATGCAATGTAGGTGTTTCTATGGAAATGGTGAAATTCAGGAGAAAAGAGCCAAAAAGGACTAAAATGGAGCAAAGTGATAATTTAGGGACTAAGGATGCAAATAATCAAAATTTGAACTAAAAGGCAATCTGGGAATGCAAATATGCTAAGTATGAACTCGAAAACGATACAAGATGATTGGAAGAAGAAGAAGAATTAACTGCAAAGAGACTCAAATGAAGAAAAATGAATGTTCAAGGACCAAAATAGACATTTTGCATAGTTGGCAGCATTATGCGACCGCATAGTACTACCCTCTATGCATTCGCATAGAGACCTCCCGAGAATTTTTTCTCAAATTTTTATGCGACCGCATAGAACAAGTTCTGGGGCCAATTCTGCTATACGACTGAAACTCTTTTGATAACCTAATTTTCACTCGATATAAATACCAAAAGACATCCAAAAAGAAGCATAACGTATTGGAGGTAGAAAAACACTTCTTGGAGAGGATTTTGAGCACAACAACGAAGATTTACACGAAGAGCTTCAAGATTTCATAACCCGGTGATGCCTTTTATCCAAAATTTGATGTATTCTTTTATTTTAACCATGTTAGACTAGATTTTCATGTGCTAAGAGATCGATGTACCATGTAATTTGATCTTTAATTTTCTAGTTTTGCAACTTGACACTAAGACATAGTTCTATTGTTTTAAATTATTTATATGCAATTATTGTTTCCACAATTAAGGGCCCGTAATTGTATGAGTTTGGGTGATTTATTCTTACATTCGAGAGAATTGAAATAGATTTGACATAATATAAATCATCATAGAGTCCAATAGGGAATAGAAATATAACGCTATGCCCTACGTGAATCTTTAAATATCCATAAAACCGCATGCATTTTTACATATACACTTGTCATAGAAATATAGGCTGGTGGTATGTACAAATAGGTTCGATACATCTCGAGAAAGAGTATTGGATAGATTTAGGAACATTGATTCGTCACAATTGAAGTATGTTGTCACATTGTGAAATTAGGGTTTTAAAGTGATAATTGCATGGGAAATCGTGATCCTAGTGTGTTTAATTTCTATTGATTACAACAAACGTACGTTTTCAACATTTGATTTCATTTTAGAGTGTTAAAAATATTGTTTTGCATATTTAATTTAATTCAACCATAAAAATCGCATAATTAGGGTTTTCTTTCCAAAATTAGGGTTTTAATTAGGTTCACATTCACTTTAATAATTTAGTTTCGGTTAAGGTGACGATAGGTAAAATTGAACTAATCAATCTCTGTGTGACGATATTCGGACTCATTTAATCCACGTTATTAATTGTTAACGAACCGTACACTTGTGGTAACTTTAAATCGAAAGAAATAATTTCGTGAACAGTTATATTCATTACAATTCCTAGAAAGACAAACATAGAGAAATGATAACATTAAAATAATATATTTGATCCTACTATATCATTTTTAATGGGCATAGAAATTGTGCTCCCTAAAGAGGACAAAAATAATTACAAAGTCTTGTTCGTAGAGAGCAGGATAGTTTGCAAAGATTCCATTTGCTTCGCCAGTACAGCATCTTCAATTCTCTCGACACATTTCAAACCGCCGTAGTTTCTAGATTTATGAATCGCCTAAAATTTTGAATGGTGAAAAGTAATTAAAGCATTAAACTCCATCAAAAGAAGAAAATAATGGTGGACTGTGAAGCTGATACATCAAGCATACAAGTGTGCAAGAGAGGAAATCTTTTGGATAATGGAGGAAATGAAATATTTGAGTGGCAATTGGATGGAGGGAAATTAAAATTTTAGAGGCAAGTCAAATTTTAGATGGGAATTGAAACTTTTTGAATTTTTCGATGGAATTTTTAGTTCGTGACTATATAATGTTTTTAAAAATTTAATTTCAATGTTTACTAACAATTTTTTTCCGTTTGTAATTTATTTTACCATTTTTAGTATTTTTTTCAGCAAACTCATCCATTGAGAAATTTTGTCACTAAATTATTTAATTTATATTTATTATTTTTAAATTTTTACCGACTGATTAGTAACAAAATTTTATCAACAAAAATCTTCCGTTAGTAATTCTGTCGTTAATTTAGTATTTAATTTTTAATAATAAAAAAATAGTAATCCATTGTTAATTTGTTGTAATTTCGTCGATAATAGCAACGAAAATTATCCGTTTGTAAAATTCCATTTCTATTGCCTCCTTTTCTAGTAGTGTTAAATAACTGCTTGATTTGCCAAATAATTGAGATTTGAGCGGACTCAAAATGTTGCCCATTAAAATAATCTCAGAATCTATGCTTATTTTTAACTCTATGAAGCCTTTCTTTGATTACTATGTCTCCTCGAATGCTTAGGTATCCATCGTTAGAATCTCACTCTATGCCATACTAAGATGGTGCTTTAACAAATTTTAAAGAGTTTGCCCCCATAGCAATTAATTAGAAATTTGGGCCGTATATGACAATAATCTCAAAAAAGATGGAAACAAAACATATATCTACTATTAAATAATACTAAACAAATTTGTTGGTACTGTACAATACTAAAATAGCTACCATCTAGTATCAAAATAAAAATTATGCGAAAATTCGAGGCCCAAAATTGAAATTTGGCCTAATTTAAACCTGGCGTGGTTGTGTGCAATTGAATTTCTGTGATAAAAGAAATCTTGAAATATTCGGTTTCCATGCACGAGATGATCATAGAAGATCTTGTGTATATCTTTAAATTTCCTTAATTCTTCCAAAGACCAATCTTCTCTCTCTAACTAATTAATCACTCTCTCAAATTCTCGTCTCTAAAGTGATATAGTGAGAGAAAACTTCTTGTTTGTAACAGCAACTAAGGAATTCCATTCTAATGGAATCTCTATTTAAAACCCCACTTTAAAACCCTAATAAGTTTCTTTACCATTCTTGAATTGAATGAGAAAAACCCGTTTGGTTTCTTGAATCAGTTACCTTTTTATGGGTGAAGATTGTGAGCGGTCATCAGTGAATAACAATAAATCGAGAATTTCAGCACCGGATTCGAGAAACTTGGAGATGACGGAAAATAACCAGCTGCACGATAACGGAGTGTTCTTGCCGAACGGAGATTGGACTAATGGACTGTCATCACTGCCGGAAAACAACCCTTTTGAGTTTCCGCAGACGGAAAGCAATTCTTACCACGTTGGATTTGATGGCAGTCAAAATCTTGCTATGAGGAATACGAATGGCCAAGTGAACGTGAACGCCGGCGGAGGTGGCGGAAACATTTATAGGCTCCCTTCATTGCCGGAAAACCTCTCTTTTCAGGTTTCGCAGCTAGAAAATAACACTTACTATCCTGGTGTTGACAGTCGTCAAAGTCTTGCAATGATGAACACTGGCGGTGACCAGGTGAACTCTGCCGCCGCCGGCCAAATTTACGGGCTGCCCTCACTGCCAGGAAACAACCCACTTCAGGTTCCGCCACAGGAAATTAGTACTTACAATCCTGTTGATGGCCGTCAAACTCTTGGAATGATGAATACTAATGGCCGAAATGTGAACCCTAGTAATGTGGACCCGTTCTACGATTTTCCACTCGAGTCCCAATTCAGTCGCCTCACTATGTCAACTAATCCATCCATCTTCACGCTACCATCATCTTACGGCCGCGGTACTGCTGTTGGTGGCGGCGGTAGCCGTGGTCGGATTGTTCCGAACAATTTAACTCTTGGAATGGGTGCGTATTCACAATCACAGTTATCTTACGGAGATCTTCTACAGAGAATGAGAATTCAATCTGCTGCCAGAGGACAGAATATGGACCTCTACACGCAGCCCAGAAATTATTCAAGTTTCGACGATGGCATAAATGAAATTGCTTCACAATTTGGTTTGAATTCAATTGCACTTTCCAACTATGATCGAAGTTTCACTGGAGAATCAATTAGGTATCCAACACGGCCTCGTCGAATTGGATCACTTCTGCCCTCTGAATACGGAAGCCAGACGAGTTCGAACAGAAATGGGCAGAGGCTTGACACCAATGGATCAATTGAAACTAATAACTATAGTTCCCTCTTAACATCTCGACTCCGGCCAAGCTTCTCGTCGTTGGAGGATTTGAGGGGTAACATATTATCTGCGGCAAAGGAACAACAAGGATGCAGGTTCTTGCAAATGATTATCGAAGAGGGAAAACAGGATCATATCCAAATGATTTTCTCTGAAGTGAAGGATCATGTTTCTGAGTTGATGATAAATCAATTCGGAAGTTGTTTGATTCAGAAGTTGTTCGAGGTCTGCAGTCAAGAACAAATGGATGAGTTACTCATATTGGTTATGCAAGATGAAAGGACTCATATGGCCATTTGTGTTAACATATATGGGTATGTTGGTAAATTTTGCTTTGCTTTTAAAAAATAAATGTCTGTTTATTTGCTTTATTTATTTATTTTTATTGTTATTGTTATTGTTATTTGGCAGAACTAGGGCCATGCAGAAATTACTGGAGCATCTTAAAACCGGAGAACAGAAGTCTACAGCTATATCTTGTATAGCGCGGATTACTGTTCCATTGACAAAAAGCTTGAGCGGACATCATGTTATTCAGCACGTCTTGAAATTTTTTTCCGCCGAAGATAATAAGGTATACTTGCTTCTCTTCGCAATGTATTTATTTTTTATTTTTTCAATTTTTGAATAAATGTCTTGTGACAATTTTATCGTATTTCTTAGCATATACTGAATGCGGTAGCGGATAATTGCGCCGAGATAGCAACCGACAAAAGTGGTTGTTGTGTTATACAACAATGCGTAGCACATGCTCGAGGAGAGTCCCGGGATCGACTTTTACAAGAAATAATCATAAATGCATCAGATTTATCTGTACATCCCTATGGGTATGTATGCTTTTTTTGTAGTCTCAAAAATGAATAATGCTATTTGCAATACAGTCACCCCACATAGTGATTATCATAATAAGCGACTACTTGTCATGTGTATATCACGTGTAGCGATTGTCATAATAAGCGCTTACGAATAGCATTACTTCTCAAAAATGGGAAAATAAAAATTATGTACTATATTTACATTCAAGTTTCGTGTTCCAGGAATTATGTTGTGCAGTATGTACTAGGACTTAGGATTCCTCGAGTGACAAAAGATATACTGAATCGACTTTCGGGAAACTTTACTCAACTATCGATGAGCAAGTATGGGAGTAACGTGGTGGAAAAATGTCTAAAGGAGTCCCCAGATGAAGAGGCGTCACGCATAGTACAAGAGTTATCGAGTGATCCACAATGGTTAATGGTTATTCAGAATCCTTTTGGGAACTATGTTGCTCAGTCTGCTTTGGAGGTCTCTAAGGTTTGATTTCATTATTTTTCTTGATTGAATTGAAATTATTGCTTATGATATATGATTAATTGCTTGGTTAAATCGACTTTTATCGTGCAGGGAGCTATTCGCGCTGAAATGGTTAACTTCATTAATCACCATTACCCGTTCTTGAACAGTCATCCTCATGGAAAACGTGTGTTAGCACGTACCAGAGGAAACAAAAACCGTGGATGAAGCGTAAGATGTATCGTATTTTGTTTGTTTATCTTTAATAATTGATTAAGAGTGTGTAGTGAGTTAAATTAAACGGGTTAGGTCTCTAATTCCGTTGAATTTGATGTACCAAACATGCCTTAACTGTCGTTGTAGACTACTATTGTTATGTTTAGGAGAAAAGGATGTGAGGATATTATTCTGATTTAGGCTTCTATAGGACGGTAATTGTGTAGACATGTATTAGCATATTGCTAATTAAAATGCATTTTGTTGTTTTGTTATCTGTGGATCATTTTTGGTTTTTGGGCTGCTCTTCACGTTACAGACTTTTTACAGAATACATACAGCATTGGGTGAGTGGGTTATTTTTTGGATTATTTTACTCACAAGGGGAGTGCCCCATGTGAGTATCTGGAATTCTTCTATCAAGGAACACAGAATTTTCCTAATTTTTTTTCAGAGTTATGCCAGAATTTGGTTGGTTTCATGACCAAAAGCATTGGCAAACTTAACAGGGAATATGTTGTGCTGACTGAGAACTCAATCGATAGTTTTATGTTGTCGTCTTGAATCCAGTTTTTATCACCAGGTACTATGTCCTCGCCATCGTCCCCGTCCCTCTGGCTATCCTAGTAGTTTGAAGGGTCACGATTAATTTATTAAAGTTTCAAATATATCAAACCCTTAATTTTTCTAGTATTTATTGCCACTGCCACTAGAAAAATCTGAGAGGGTGTATGGAAAAATGAATTTTAGAATGGTAGATTTATGGAAAATTTGTGGATGAAAAATAAGGAAAAATCTTTTATTTACGTGTAATATTATTTTAATGAGAAATGTGCGGTTAAAAAGAAGAGAGAAAAATGTATTTTGATAAAAATGTTAATCAAACGGGGCCTGAAATTTCACTCACTTATTATCTTAATTTCACAATCATGTTGGTAATTGAAAAACCAAATGTCTCAACAATTGTCTTATATGAAAACCCATTTTCTCAGTATTACTATTCCAAATGTGTTTAATTATTTTTTTTTTTTTAAAAGAAAGAAAAAGAAAAAGACGACGACAACAACGTTGTTATATAGTATGTGGTCATGTATCAAAAATTTAAAATATGGCAGTCATTAGAAAATGTTGAAATTGTAAAATTAGAAATTTCTAGAAAAGCTAATCTAAGGTTCTTCTCCTTCATGGACACAATGGGTCATTTTGTTTATCACTAAACTTGTTACAGAGATGAAATGTTACCAAATTATATCTTTTTAATCAGATGTTGAATCAATAATCAAAAGGGTAGACCAAAAAATTAGGATACAACAAACTCGACAAGCTATGAGCTCAATCGTAAATTTAAAATCCGTGTCAGATGCAATTTCAGATTTTAATTTCAATTCCAGTGAAAATTTCTGTCTTAAAATCCAGTGGTGATTTCGATTTCAGAATTGGATTTTCAGGTTTTAAATTTCATAGACATCCCAATAATGCGAACATGACATGTCAATCATACTTTGAATCGAGTATGAAATTATGTTTACTCACTTTGAATTGACTATTCGTCCCTCCCTTACCTGTTAGAATTGGAAATCCCACATTTTACAAATCCATATGACTGAATCCTTGAGCATCCAAAATAGCGTAAAAAGTACTTCGAACCATTGCTATTTGACTTGGACATGTTCTAAGAAAGTCGGGGCTATTTCGAATTGTTTGTTGACACGGACAAAGACTCAAAATGAGAAATTGCAATGATGCCTTACAGTGGATAAATTTATAGATCTTGTGCATCTTGGACCTTGGGGAAATGATCCCTTTCATAATACAAAACGTTCTACAAAATATCGATAATATACACAGTACGTGCCAATCTCCTAAACAAATCAATAAAGGTTTATGTAAATTTGTTCTCCTTCCCTCCAGATTCGGAAAAAAATAAAAATAAAAAAATAGGTATTACTTGCTGCAGTCTGGCCCGGCCCTATTCTCACCACAGAGAACCAAATTCAAACATAAAATCAGTGCATTGATCACCTTCTATAGAAAAGTCACCCTCGGAACGGAGTTGTGTAGATGATCCAACTGCATTACTATAGATCTGCAAAGAAATTTTCCGAATTGCTAAAATTTTTCCCTTTGCTGGCATTTTTCGTTTTTGTCCCTGCAAAGATAGCGAACACATATAAAATTAAACTAGCCCTTGAAAAATTCAAGTTTTGTTATGTCCTTTCTATTGTAAATAACGTTATCGATGTTTATTACTCTCTGATTTACAGAACCTAATCCCCTAGCTTATGTAATGCGACTGAAGGTAAGTCAAGAATTGACACTGTTATGCATAATATTAAAACAAGAATGATATTCCAAACCATCGTATTCTGATATACCTTTTGAAGATTTTTGAATACCATCATCAACATCCATCTCATCGCTATCGCTATCACTGTCTGCCACAGCAGAATGATTCTGTACTGAACCTTGAACTAAATCCTCCAGATCCCATAGCTACATTGATAGAAGATGGAGAAAACCATGTTGAAGGCATGTCTGACTATTGAATCCGCTACAAAAGTTCGATAGAGAGAGAGATGCATGCACCTTTAATGTCTGATCATGAGATATGCTGCCAAGGAACTTTCTATCATGAGAAAAAGCTGCAACATCAATTTACACCTCAAGTTAAAGATACAACATGACATCCAAAAATTAAAAATTTACTTGATTCTAACTTACTGTAACATACAAATGGGTGAATTGAGGAAACGAACTGGTTTTGTTCATGCTCCCAAAAAAAAAAAAAAAAAAAAAAAAAAAAAAAAAAAAAAACGCCTAGTTCTCTCTCTCCGAACAGGTTAGAAGAAAGTCATACCAAGACATTCCACGGGATATTCAGAATGGTCTGCAATTGACTGGATTAACAGGTTAGAAGAAAGTCATACCAAGACATTCCACGGGATATTCAGAATGCTCTGCAATTGGCTGGATTATTCTGTTTGGCAATATGCCTACCAAGCTAAACAGAGCACAAGGAAAATATAATTCAATCTACAGATGAATTCGTAAATTAACTGGAGAAACTAGTCCCACGCTGAAGAGAAACATTTCACCTGATTATTCCATCTCGGATCCAGTTATTACTCTATCTTCATCAAGCTTAAGCCCAATATCAGGAATAGAAGAAAAGATAATTTCTAGGATTAAAAAGGTTAACATTCTGATAATGCTGAAAAATAATTACGAAGTTATAATGAAAAATTACTTACCTTCAGCAAGGCATCAACAGAGTTAGGAGAGAGATCAATGAAGCGATCACTAAAAATTTACAAGACATATAGGTCATCAAAAATCCAATCAACCACTACCATTATATTCCCCACCCCAAAGGAGAAATTCACAACTTGCTGCATGGTTGGTTAAATTTCAATTAAGAAAAAAGGATACCTGCAATTAGGGATGGCAATCGGGCTCGTCGACTCAATCCGCTCATAGCTCATCTTGAGGCTCGGAGGCACCGAGCGAGCCTCATTTTTTAGAATTGGCTCAAGCCGGGCTGGCCGTATTTAACAAAAAAAAGAGGAAAAATCTACTGCCTGTTTGACAGCTATTTTAGCTGCCTGTTGCCTTAACGGACAGCTTTGCTGCCTGTTGGCACCAGATTTGCTGCCAACAGGCAGTTATAACAAGCTGCCAAACAGGCAGCAAGACGAATATAGAGAAAAAAAAGTTCCCAAAAACCGAGCTCTGCCCAGCTTGGCTCGAGCCTTATTTTCCGACCGAGCTTTTGCTCGGCCCGGTTCGAGCCAAAAAAAGCCTGCCTTAGAAAAGCTCAAGCCAACTCGACTCGGCTAGTTGACATCCCTACCTGCAATCCTTGAAAAATCCCCAAGAATACATGTCATTTTAATGAGTTATCTTCCGAATACAATTGGTAAATTTAACCTTCATAACCACCACAGAAAGAAGCTCATCCTCAGAAAACACTGATCGAGTTTGAACCTGTAAAAACATGATACCACAGAGACTTAGTTATGAACTGAAATAAGTTGAAGGCTGAAAGAAACATAAATTGGTGAAAGGAATGGAGAGTAAATACTACAGGAATTCAAAAACATCAAATGCTGAAGCAAAAAAAAGAATTACCTTGTTACTTCTTAGATTGCAAACAGATAGAGTCCCATCACCGCTGAAGCAAATGAGACAAATTAGAATACATTAGTTAATATACTTAACCATGGCAACATTTACAAGAGACCACAACATCACGGCGTCACATGAAAAAGCATTAACTATGCAAGTGAAAATTGAATAGAGAGATTGTCCAGCATGAGAAAAACTACCCAGTACCAAAAATTGCACCTTCAAGTCCATGCAATCTAAGACCAACAAATGGAAGAATAACCTAGGATGCACCAACACCCTCCGCGTGTTGGCAATTTGGAGTTCAACGCCAGGTGGCGTATCCAAATATTTTTTGACTTTGTACAGTTGAGACACGTTATTTAATACATTGTTAGAATTGAAAAAATCACTTTACAATGTAAAAAATAAAATAAATAACATATTATTTAATTCGTGCATCGGGGCAGTGTCGTGTCTGTATTTTCTCAGAAAATTGTGAGTCAAGAGTGCCTATGTCAATGCTCCCTAGAGAATACCAAAAATCATTTTGAAATATTGAAGGCACAACCGTTCTAGCTAAACTCTAAATACATTTTACAACATTCAAATTCGAGAAAGGGAGATAAGCCATTATTACCTCGTTCCTAGTAACTTCATGGAATCAGAGGCAAACGTCATATCTGAAATGTATTCTTCATGAGCATTAAAAGTGTTGCAGCAAGAACGCTGTCGGGCATCCCACACCTGTATTGCGGAGAATAACCACATTGTAGGAAAGAAGATAAATGATTTAGATTAAACTTAAACTATTAAACCATACAGAATCAGCACTTAATGATTGGCAAAAACAAATGGCATTCCCTCAGAAAAACAGCAAAAAGAACCAATAAAAGCCAAACAGAGAGAGAGAGAGATGATGGCGTGAAGTACAATAGTGCTATTTGTCCAATTGAATATATGGTACTTGCTCATTCAACTATACAATGGATGCTATCCTGCCTCCTGCTATTTTAAGGTCAGACGGGATAACAACGAAGAGATATATCAAACATTTGATGACAACAGGTGCATAAATGATATTAACAAATAAGATGCGGTTCCTTTGCTAGTACCTCAACGTGAACCAAAAAGTGATAAAATAATTTTACTTATTTAAAATAAATTAATTTAATAAAATTAGAAAGATTCGGTTCTTATTTGATTTTTCGGTTTGATCTAGAACAGAGAATTGAAATGAGTCTGTCGATTTTCGGATTCAGATACTCGTTTGGGTATTTAACTTAAGAAGAATCGTTCGATTCGATTCAATTTGGTTCAAGAGTTTTATTCAGGTCTAGGGTTTAGGGAAAAGTAATGTTTGGATTTAAGAAAATATAAAAATAACTATAGAAGGTTTTAGTTAGGATTTTTTTTTTTTTCCAAAATATATTAGAAATAAGCTTTTCTAATTAAATTTTAAACACGTCATGTTGGGAAGGAATTATTGACAATCAACATTGTTGAAATAAGAAAATAAATTAAAAACTTACTAATTAATTATACCGTATAGTTAAATCTTTGTGCCCCTAAACTTTTGGAATTACATAGTTACAACGTCTAGTACCTTAATTTCGAACGGAAAAAATTCTACAAAAGTATATTTTCTAGCGAATGATCTTATCAAAAGATATATCTCAAGAAAAATGAAAACCACCAAAATTCGGGATACTGACAACTTAGAAGTCGCATTTCATTAAGAAGCAAATCCGATTATAGTAACTTGAGGAAAAGGTCGAACATGAGTTGCAACTTGTTTGACTATCGTTTATAAATTAGTTATGATTGATCAAATCTTTTTTTTTTTATTTGCACATTTCACGGGACAAGTAAGTAGTCCATGTTTGATTCACTTTACTTTAATTTAATTTATTTCTTATACTTATTTTCAATCACTCACACACACACATATATATTGTGAGTGTGGAAAATGCCTTGTGTACATGGAATAATTTCACAGATGTTGTACAGGGCAGTCACATGGGGGTGGGCCCCATGTGAATATTTTTATGGGTGTGGACCCCACCATTGTGTATATTTTGTAAAATATCTGTATAAAATTCTCTGTAAGTAGGGTTAGGCAAATCTCCCGAACCGAACCTACCGAATCTAACCCGAATCGAACCCGACGGTTCTTGTCAAATTAAATACCCGAACGGGTATCTAAATTGAGAACCGACGGGTACGGTTCGATTCTCGATTCTAAACCAAGAACCGAAGAACCGAATAAGAACTGAATCTTTTTAATTTTTTTTTATATTGAGTAAATCAAAATATTTTAATTTTAATTTTTTCTAAACAAATTAACAAATTAACGATTCCTAAATCCAAATTTTTGACTCAATAATTTGTTTCATTTCTAATTTTTTAATTTTTGACCCATTACCCATTTTATTGTTTCATTTCTTAGCCAAACAAGATCAAATATACTAAATAACCCTAAATACCTACACTAAAGTGCATAACGTTGTCTCGACTTTCGCACTCACTCTCACAACCTCGCTAATATTCCAAAACCTATACAATCGTCGACCAACACTGTGACTTCCGATCGAAACTGTGACATCTGCCGACCGAAACTTTGATCGTAACAATCATTTGAACAAGGTAATTTACTAGTCTCTGACATTCCAAAACCGTTGAATGTATCATTAGTTGTATTTATATAATGTTGTTATAAATATTAAAAATTTTAATTACAGTACAGAACCAAACGGAATTGAACCGAATTGAACCGAACGGAACCGAACCCGAACGATTCCATAATTATATTTGGACCCGACGGTTCCATTTACTAGATATTCGAAAAGTTTGGTTCGGTTCGGTTCGGTTCTCTTTAGAACCTAACCGAACCGACCCGCGCCCACCCCTATATGTAAGTATAACACTGTTATATATATATATATATTTGATTTGGAGGTCACCAAACAAGGGCCTAATTTGGTCTTAGTAAACTCATAATAAAAACACTGATAACTACGAAAACCTAATTTTGTGTATGGATTGGGCCATGTGTTTGAGATTGTAATGATCCGGCCAGCCAATTTTTCTGCTTTTATTCATCTGGCCCAACAAAAGGAGATTATTGAGTCGATCACATACTATTTTTATGGGACAGAGTGAGTGAATGCGAGTGATTTTTTCACATACTGTACTCAACCGTTCTTGATTTTGATTTTAATGTCTATAGTCATATCTATTTTATTAGATGCTCATAGTAACGTTTAAAGTACGTTAATATCCAAACCAATTAATGGATAAAAATTATCTGCTCCATTTCTTTAATTTTTTCGGCTCGCTTTCAATTATTTAGCGTTAAAATGAATATTTTGTACTTAACAGTACTAACGTTATAATATAATAATAATAGAAACGTGTTTGAGTAAATTAGTCATTACGAATCTTATAACACTTGCTATTAAGCTTCCGTGCTTGTTTTGTACTGATTTTAAGTCACTTAAAATCAATTTTTTAATCATTATTTTACTGTTTCAATCATTATTTTTGAATTCTCTCTCACAAATAAAATCCACTTTATCTCTAACAATCAAAAAATCAATTATCAAAATCCCTACCACGCTCCATCTGATTTCCCATTTCTTGAAAAAACATTATTTTGAATAGAGAAGTTTTGAAGAATGTTCATTTAAAAAATAAAAAATTAATTTTTTAATAAAATATTTTATTATGTGAATGTGTAATTGAAAATAAATATATAGAACAAATAATCAGAAATATATAGAAAAAATAATCAGAGACTAAAATTATTTGAATTTGATCATTAAATTAAAAGGAGATTAAAGATGATACGTAGACATACATTGTTCCAAGACAAAGGTCACCCTCAATGAAAATGTGGATCCACACACTGCTGGGAATACAGAGGAACCAAACTGACGGTCCTCTTATTTAGAAATTCCAAACTCAGTCTTAGTACAATCAAACCTTAATCTAAACTAAAGGTTGTACAAATTTTAATTTCATGGCTGGTAAGTAAATAAGTAGATATTCAAGGGCATTTGGGCTTGCCCTTGGAGTTTCTCATGTCCCTGTAGCAAGGGCACTGGTGCTTGTTCCCATAAGTCCCAGAAGGAACGCACTTGCATATTTGACAGCATATTCCACAGTACTTGAGGCACCGGTCCACCACGCCCGCCTTCGCGCACCTTTCCTTGCATTTCTGTCCACAGTAATCTACAAAGACATAACTTTATTTTACTTTAATTTATCCAACCATGTGTCAAAATAAAATTTTACAATTAAACAAAAACTCGTGTGAACAGTGAACTACACAAAAACCAAACTTAAGATTTTGCCCCTGTTTGGTGAAAAATGATCTAAAAGTAGTTTCTAAGCATGGCCAAACACGAGTAATTTTCAGACTTGAAAGTTTATTAAGATTAAAAATAATACTTACAGTATGCGGCCACGGTGGGTTCAGTAAATGAGTTGCTGAGCAGAAGAGCAAAAATGAGCAAAAAAGTGATTAAAAAAAGTCTTCATTCTCCTCTGTTGTTTGGATTTGATACTGATGTTGCAAGAATTAGACGGAGGAGGAAAGTCCTTTGTCGTGTGGTTGTGAGTGACAATTGATGGGATTTCGGTGGTATTTATAAGGGGGTTGAGAGTTGGGAGAAAGTAATTATTTTTTTAAAAATAAGTGCGCGTCCCATTCGGCGAATTTATAACGGAGAATAGTATTTTTTTTTGAAAAATGAATGATTGTAATTGTGTGTACTAATACTTTATCAAAAATTCTATGATTGAAAATAGAAGAGAAAAAATTAAAATAAATTGAAGAGTTTTAATGGAGGTCAAACAGTGACTCATTTTTCATAACATTTTTAGAATGATTCTACAACCTCATGTACATGACACTTAAGTCACATTTTATCAACTGTCAATGGAAAAAAGTGCTTAAGCCCCCGTTTGGTAGTATTTTTTCACCCCAAAAAATTGATTTTTAACTGTTATTTCATTGTAGCCATTATTTTTTATTTCTTCACTCACATATGGTCTCCACTTTTCTCCCTAATGATCAAAAAATAATTCTCATAATCACTACCGAATAAGTCCAAAATTTAAGTTTTCTTAATATTTTTTGAATTATTCTACTTGTGCACTGGGGTGTGACCCTAAAGAAATGTCACCTTGATCCACCAACCAATAATAATTGGGTGTTTGGTGGAGATTTTAAATCAATTAAAATTAATTTTTTTTATCGTTATTTCATTATTTCAATCGTTATTTTTGAATTTCTCTCTCACAGATAGAACTTGCTTTATCTCTAACTGTCAAAAAATCAATTTTCAAAATTCATATCAAACACCCTCTAAAATGTCACTTAGGGCCTGTTTGAAAGTGATTTTTTCTCCCAAAAAATTGATTTCTTAATCGTTATTTTACTATTTCAGCCGTCATATTTGACTTCTTCTCTCACGGGTAGACCACACTATTCTCCCAACGGTCAAAAAATCAATTCTCAAAATCAATCTCAAATAGGCTCTTAAGCAGTAAATCCTAATGTCTTACACCCTGATCTACATGTAGTAAAACCCATATCCTTAACTCTTTCATATTAGATAGTTCACATTGCTACACCTACATCAAATTTTACATATATAAATTATATAAAGTCATATGTCACTCTATTATTTACCAATTTAAAACACAATCAACTTTTTCATGAATTCTTTTTTCTCCATATCATTTTACGCAATTTCTTATATACCATTTTATGTACAAAAATAACATAATCCTTAGATAGTTCTCAACAGATACTATAGAGGGTCCTTTATCGTACATTTTAAAAAGGTTTTAGACTTATTTATTACGATTTAAAGATTGGGAATCTCCTTTACAAATTTTCATTTTCCCAATACCATAAAGAAAGAAGTAGGTGGAAATGGCCAGCTGTGCAGTATGGGGGTTTGTGCATGCATGCATGTCGTTTGGTTGAGGCTTCGTGACAGATCTGTACTAATTCATTTAATAATTGTGGTGTGGATCTATCCAGTCTCCAATATTTCAATTTTCATTCAACTCACTGCACAATTAAATAAAAAAATACAGAAGGTTCTAGATATTAGGATAATTAAATAAAAACATTTTATGGATTTTGAAAAAGAAAAATTCTCTTATGCCCTGTTTGATTTTCATTATTTCCTCATTAAAATAAAAAATATGAGTCACCATATTTTACTGTTCATAATGATTATATTTTTCATTCTCATTTTTACAATAATGTGGCTCAAACAGGGGTTATTATGAAAGAGGGCTTTGAAATTTATGATTTTTTGAAAAGCTAGATGGAAGGGGGAATAGGGAAATGAATTTCGTCGATATGTACCCTTGTTTGGCTCCGTTTACAATACATTTTGGGAAAAAGTCCAGTTTTGAACACTAATAATTTAAAGAATGTATGACTAAAACAAAAAAAAAATTTACGTGTAATATTATATTGTTGATTAAAAAAATGTATGATTATAATAAATAAGAAATAGAGAAATGCAATTTTGTTTTTTTTTTTAAGAATGGAGCTCAGACAAGGGGTTAAATTTCTATTTGATAATCATTAAAATAATTTTTTATTTCAAAATCATTTTCAATCACATATTTTTATAATAAAATATTTTGTGCGCAAATAAAAAAAAATGTAGTGATAGTCAGGGGCGAAGCCACAAGTTGTTGGGAGAAAAATTGAAAAATTAGAAGCAACTGTCCAATTAAAATAAAAATATGAAAGGAAATTCTGGCCTTGTGTTTGTTCATATGAATTTTAAATTGCTTTTGGTAAAATTCAAATTTCAATCACTGAATTTCAGGCAAAGAAATGTGAAACTAAGTAACGAGGTTCAGTTTCCCGCGGTCAAACTAATGAAGTGGAAAACTTTAGCCAATCAAATGAAAAATGCCAATTAAATAACTTTAGAAACTATTAAATGCAAACAAATCTCGTAAATAATTACACTATAGTTTGTAAAAAGTTGTAGTTTTTCCACCATTCACGAGACTACCTCATTAGTTAACTATAAAGAGAACTTTTTTACACTTCAAATTTAACCGTAAATTTTGTGGAAAAAAATTCTGACTCCATACCTGGTGATAGTCGAATAGGGGCAAAATATTTTTTATGCACTGAACTGAAGTGTCCAAAATGAGCATTAGCTGAGGGGAGTTGTTTTGCAAAATTTGGAATGGAAATATTTTTTAGAATTTATGCGGTTAATTTCATCGACCTACAGTTTTTTTTAAAGTCTTGTTATTGCGATACACCTGTCTTTCGGTACGATGAAAACTTTGATTTGACATTTGTATAGAGGTCCGTGCCTGCACCAAATGCAAACCATTAATGAGTTGGACCTTCCCTGCCTGCCTTGCTTCCTATAATTACCCCTAATTGATACACATTATTTTAAAAAATTTATATTTTTAAACAGTAATTTAAATTACACATTTTTCAATAAAATTATATTAAACTCAAATTTAAAATTTTTCTTTATTTCCTAATCACACATTTCTCATTAATAAATTATTCAAAAATATATTTTTTATGGAAATGATGTGACTCAAATAAAGCCAAAATATGTGAATAAAATTAATTATTAACTTCGACCGCAATTTTTTATACTTTTTTAAAAAGCCGCCCAACATTTCTTATAAAATCCTTGCATAGGATAATAAAATCAATTTATTTTGTGAAGGTTAATCATGAAACATACTAATTCACTATTACAAATATGGGGAGCGTTCCTCGTACACATGGATTTGACAAGTATTTTTGATAAATAGTCTTGAACTTTAATTTAAACAAATCTAACGGTTAATATGTTTTTCACTAGGATCATGGAAAATGTAGAACCATTTCAGATCCATAAGATACTAACCGTTAAATTTGCTTAATTTAAATGTTGGGATTATTTGACAAAAATACTTATCAAATTAATGTGTAGGAGGAACGTTTCCTTACAAATATATAAAGTCCATGCGCCATAAAATAACATGGACATTCAAATCCATGATTTCATGGTTTGGACAAAAATTTCAGTCTTATTATACTTGTCTTTTTGAGAATCAACGAGAAATCTTTTGCATATTATGAATTCAGTTCATTGAAAGAAGGAATTGTGAAAATTTAAAAGTGCTTCATGAACTTAAATAGAAACTACATTAATATGAATATAGAAGCAAAAAGAGTTCTTTTCCACATTTTTCTTCAATTTGGCGTCTTGAACATTTCTCGTAACTGAATTATTGGGACTTATGAGGCCATTATTAGGCATAGTTTTAATGGGCTTTTATATACTGTAGTGAACTGAACCTTGCTTGGGCTCATTCTAGCATAGGCCACTACGAGGGTAGCCCATCGGGCCTTTGGATAAAGGGCAACTTATGAAATACCTTTAAGATTAGGGTCATTTTGGAAATTCATTATAAATATGGGACTACAACATAGATACAATAATCTACACATTAAGCCCTCGTTTTGTAGCAATTTTTCACCCCAGAAGAGCAATTTTTTTACCGTTATTTTACTATTTTAATCATCATTATTGACTTTTTCACTTACAGATGGGACATACTTTCTCACCTAACGATTAAAAAAAAATTCTCATAATCACTACCAAACAGGTCCTAATAACATATTAATTTATAATCTATTAAATATCACATCAATTTAGCATTTTTTTTTTTGATGATTTTAACCATACTATAATTATATTATTCCAATAATACTTTACTTTTCAATTTTTAATATGTAATAAAAACTACAAAATTTTTGTCCTGTATGAAATTTGTGTTATTAATTC